TTTTTTCATTAAATTTAAGTAAAGATTTGGGTTAAAAGTTTCATCTCATGCCAAGCACACCTACGCTAAATTTTCAATTTTTATCAAACAACCAGTTAACCGGAAGGATGTCTAGGAGATCGACTGGCCTAGTGTAAATTTTTTTCAAATTTTTCCCAATTCGATCGTCCACTCGGTTGTTCGGCTAGTCATCCACCAACAGTCACTTGCGAAATTTGATAAAATATCAAACGCTCTCTTGATTTGATTAAAAAAAAAAAAAGATAAGGCTCCCTTTCATTTAATACCAATTTAGTAAAACTGTTGGAATACTATTTTCATCAAATTTTTATCAAATTTAAATTTAATAAAAGATTTGAGTCTGGTCCCCCCCAAAACACACACACACACACACACACACACACACACACAAAAACTAGTTTGATTATTTTAAGTCAAAAATATTTTAATTGTTTGGTTTCAGCTTATTTCATTAACAATATAGAAAAATTAATTTTTTAAACAGGATGCACCCTATTGGCAAGTACTAAAAAGCCACAATTTTTTTAAAAAAAATTTGTCTTTAGTTAATTTCTTTTTTACTTTTTAAATATTTCTAGCGTAGAAGGATCTAAAAAAGTTTTTTTTAAATCACTAAAGACACAAAAAAAAAAATAATAATAATAATAATAATTCCAAACCCTACCTAAACTTTTCTAATAACAAAATTTTGAGAAATTGACTAGTAAAATCTCATTTTGTAGACTTGTAATCTAAAAGATCCTAAATATTTTTGTTAGTGACTGAGTGATCCCTTAAATTATTTGTTGACTGTTTTGCCATTGTTAGTATAGTTGGGGGACAAGTGGCGTGGTTATGTATGGGAAAGGTGGTGGGGTGTTTGTGTGTCACATTGTTCGAAAAACGCACTAGTAACTTTTTAAAGTTTGGTTATTTTTAACACGTAAAGTGTGGGATATAAATTCCTTACTAATTATTTTTTGACGCGTGACGTGAAGATGCACAGAAATTCAATCAAATTGGGTTCACCACCTTGAAGTGTCACATGTCACGTTTAGGAAAAGTACACTAAATAGTTTTTAATTTTTTTAGAGTGTCACAACATACCCGCCACGTTGTTACATTTGAAAAAAGTATACTAAGGATTTTTTTTAGAGTGTTACATCATACCTACCACGTTATCACATTTGAAAAAAGTACACTAAGAATGAGTAAAAATTTTGAAGTGTCACATCATGCTTACCTTGTTGTCATAGTTGAAAAAAGTATACCAGGGAGTTTTAATTTGAAAAAAGTACACTAAGAATGAATAAAAATTTTGAAGTGTCACATCATGCTTACCTTGTTGTCATATTTGAAAACAGTATACTAAGGAGTTTTAATTTTTTTGAAGTGTCACGTTGTTAGAGTGTCATATTAATACCTACCATATTGGAGTATCACACTATACCTATCACACATTCCAAAAAAAAAAATAACTTCCTCAATTAACTAATAAGGGTATATTGTCTAACCAATACTCATCCACATTTGAAAAAAGACTTACTGGTCACACACTATACCTAATAAGAACTCCTCAATCAACCATTTAAAATATGGGACCAAATGGTACCAAAGTTCTCAAAATAGGCCTTTCCACTAAATTTTTCCAAATTTTTTTATTTCATTGTTTTAACAACTTTATTTTGAAAAAATTAAAAAAATAAATAAATAAATTTACAGGCATCGATGGACCGGGAGATTTGAAGCTCATCTATGGGATAAAGGGTCCTGGAATGCAACACAGAGGAAGAAGGGAAAGCAAGGTAGTTACAATACACTTTTTTTATTTTGGTTTCTTTGTTATATGCTTTCATTTCTTGGAAAAATCAGAAAAACTTGTTTGGCAAATTAATTTGCGATCTGGAAAATTTTCTTAAAACAACTACTTTTTGGGAAATGCTACGACTTCTTGGTGTTTCCTAGAAAGTGCAATTATGCTACGAATGCAGAAACCTATCATAGAACCACTAAGATTTTACAATTTTTCAATCAGATTCATTTTTTAAAAATCTTATCCGCCTAGTTTATGTGTTTGTAGACTTACTCTACAAAGTGGATTGTTTTTACAAAAAAAATCCATAAACTTTTTTTGCACTAAAAAGAAAAACGGTTTGAAAATAATGGGTATTTTCAAAATTTTAATTGTTTTGTTTCCAAACAGAAAATACAAAAATGAAAACAACAAAAAGACCAAACAACCTTTATGACGTTTCTATTTTCATTGCTAATTCCTTGTTCATTGTTTTGTGATTCTGATTTCGCATTCGGTGCTATGGTTGGATTGGAGCAGTATATCTTGGTTAGTACCTCTCAAATAACAAATCTATCTTTTGATGGATTTATTATTCACATTAGGTTTTCTTGACAATTGGCACATGTTTATCACCACAAAATGTGTGTGTAATTCTGCCAAGTCTTAATCATGTCTTTGGACCGATAAATACCCGCATGAGATACACAGACATGAACTTCAAAACATTCCATATAAAACAATCTAGACAAGAGAGATCACTTTTGTGACATCTTGTTTGAATTGACTTATATTGAGAGTGTTAAAAAATTAAATTTCATAGGGACCATAACCTTTTAGAGGTTGTAATTGGTTTTCAAAACTGAAAGGTTGTGGAAGTTCAAAAGGAATGAAAACCAACTTTAACCATTGTTGGTTTTGATTTCTATTTACTGGTTTTCAAAGCTGAAAGGTTGTGGAAGTTCAAAAGGAATGAAAACCAACTTTAACCATTATGTTTTAATTTCTATTTCTGCCCCTCATAGAAATAGAAATTATACAACTAGTATCTACACATTAGGTCCATAACACATATACCCTTAAGCCTATTAACTAAATTGAATCACTTAAATTGTAGGCTTCTTATAAATGATAACACTACATTTAATTATGTGGTCCCATTGAGACATTATCTAACATGAATTGCTATGGTGCTGATGTTAGAACATATTTCAAATATGTCGAGTGCCTCAAAACCTTGCTATCTTTTCATTCTCAGTTGACTTTACATGTTTAATAATACCTTTTATGGTTTTATCTATTGCTTTCTATTGTTGTAGACTATGGTTGTATTCTATCATCAATTCAATTCAAAATGCCATTTTTCAACTACTTATGGTTGCAAAGATTTTTATCTTCTCACATTGAATAATTCTTTTGGATTCCGTGATTGATTTAAGCTATAAAATTCAACTCCTTTTGATTCTAGCCTAATGGCTTTCATATTTGACAAACCTGAAAAGCCCTATTCTTAAGGTGGCTGCCATTAATAACATAATCGTTTGTACTCTAAATTTTGTATTCTATTTAACTGTGAAGATAGAATGGATATTGATTCAAACAATAATTTTTTCAATGAGGGTGACGAAGTTGAAGAAGAAGATAACACTCTTTCATTTAATGAGTGTGGTGAAGTTGAAGAACCTAAGAAGGGAATGTATTTTAGCTCAAAGGAAGAGGTGTACACATTTTATGCAAAATATGCAAAACACTCGGGATTTGCTATAGCTTATAGAACACAAAATTTAACATGTGATGGGGAAGTAAAGTATTTTGGAATTGAATGTACTAGGGCGCGGAACAGAACAAAAAGATCAGAAATAAATCCCTTGGAACCATCTTTGTCATCAAAAAATTGATTGTAAAGTAAGGGTAGGAGCCAGTCTACAAAAGGATGGAGCATAAAAGTTAACCATAGTTGTGCTTGAGCACACTCATGATTTGGTTGCTACTAACTCACGGCATTTTGCAATGAATAAGAGGTTACTCCGGTGAAGAGGAGACTAGAAGTTAACGATGCAGTAGGAATTGGGGTGGCTAAGAATTTTCATTCCATAGTTATTGAAGCGGGGGGATATGAGGCATTAACATTTGATGAACAAGATGTAAGGAATTATATTGAGAATGCTAGAAGGTTGAGATTTGGGGTAGGAGGCGCCAAATTAGTTACACATTATTTTCATAAAATGCAACAACAAAATTCAAACTTCTATTCGGCAATTGACCTTGATGAAGATGGTCGCATGCACAACTTGTTTTGGGCGGATGCAAGGAGTAGGGCGGCTTATAAAGCATTTGGGAATGTTATCTCTTTTGACACAACCTATTTGACAAACAAATATGATATGCCGTTTGCTCTGTTTGTAGGAGTTAATCACCATGGACAGTTAATTTTGTTTGGTTGTGGGTTGTTAAGTAATGAGAACACGGAGACTTTTGTTTGGATATTCAAAGAATGGTTAAGTTGCATGTCAGATGCTCCCCCAAAAGCGATAATAACTGACCAGTGCAGAGCGATGCAACATGCCATAGAAATTGTCTTCCCACAGGCTTGGCATCATTGGTGTTTATGGCATATTATGAAGAAAATTCCTGAGAAATTGAGAGGATATTCGCAATATGAGTCCATAAAGGTTGCTTTCAGCAATACAGTTTATGATTCATTCACAAAAGATGAATTTGAGGAATACTGGGAAGCAATGATTGAAAATTTCAATTTGAATGATAACGAATGGTTAGGGGTGTTATACCGTGAATGACATAGGTGGATTCCTGCCTATGTTAAAGACATATTTTGGGTTGGCATGTCAACTACACAACGAAGTGAGAGTATGAATGCATTCTTTGATGGATATGTGAACTCCAAGACAACCTTGAAGCAATTTGTTGAGCAGTATGACAATGCGTTGAGAAGTAAGGTAGAGAAGGAGACAAAAGCAGATTGTAAGTCTTATAACAAATTGTATGATTGCTTAATAGTGTATCGTTTTGAGAAGCAATTTCGTGCAACTTACACTAATTCCAAATTTAAAGAAGTTCAACTAGAAATAAAGCGTCTAGGGTATTGTCGTGCAAATCTTATCAAAGAGGATGGAACAATTTGTACCTATCATGTGAGGGTGGGTGTTGTTGTGGATGAGGGGATGAAGAAAGTGGAATTTGTTGTGTACTTTAATTCAACTGAATGTGAGCTCCAATGTATGTGTCGGTTGTTTTAGTTTAGAGGTATTATGTGTGCCCATTTACTTTGTGTGCTCATTGAGAGATCCATATATGAGGTGCCAAATAAATACATCGTTTCGAGATGGGGAAAAGACTTAGAAAGAGGCTACACATGCATTCCAACCACGTATACTAACTTTGGCTCTTCTCTACATCCAAAGTTACATGATAACTATCACAACACGTTGGATAAGATCCTAGAACTTGCTACCAATGATGATGGTAAACACAAGGTGATTCAACTTGGGTTGATGAAAATCAAGGATGAATTGAGAACAGTTCAATCAAGTAGTGTGAGTAATGTGCCATGTACTAGTACTTTACTACCTTCAAGTAGTACTTTACCACTTTCTCAGACTTCACCAAAAAATTCGCCTCGTATCAATACTACAAAAGAAAGCATGACTCGCAAGGTACTAAGTCCTTTGGTTGCTCGCCGAAGAGGTCGTCCATGTACGAAACGGAAGGTTACCAAGGTTGATGCAATAGTGAATCGGTTAAAGGGAAAGAATAAGAATGCTAATCCGGTACAGGTACATTTTTCATTCTGCACTACATATGTATATTGCAGAATTTGTTAAACTTCAAATATTCATCAATGTTTGGTACTATAGGGTCAAAAGGTGCATCAAGGTGAACCTCGTAAGTTAAGCTTTCCTTGTACGGGAGGCATGGAACACACTATGTATGAACCGGTACGTGTTAAATATGAAGGTTGTTTCGTGTTTTTTTTTTTTGGCTTTTAATTTTATTGCTTGAAATTACTAATTAACTTGTGTTACTATTTCATTATTAGGTGCCGCCAAATCAACCTTACTATTATCCTTCTATGGATGCCATAGCAGACAGTATGTATGTACCGGTATGTGTTGAACGGACTTAATATATTGCACTTTGTTTGTTGTCGCTTGATATTGGTGAATATGTTTGTGGAAATTTTTTTTTAATAATTACTTTATTTTTACAAGCACCAATTAGCACAATTGGAGACGACATTGGAAGCATATCTCATACTCAAGCTGGAATGGTCAACAATATTAGCAGTCAAAGTTCGATAGTACCATCAAATTTTGTTGACTTGAACATCGACGGGGATCCATTTTTTTTTTTATAGTTTCGAAGTGCTAATTGTAAACTTCAGATTGTTCACTTGAATGTCCCATTTTTTTTGAGTTGAATGAATTGAATGTCCCATTTTTGAAAGAATAGAAACCTGTAGGGTGTTGGATATTCTTACAAATGGTTCTTAACATGTGTTATGGGCTTACTGGTTGACCTTTTGATAAACTGCTATTGGTTCTTAACATGTGTTATGGGGATCTATGTTTTTGTTCTTTTATTTAGTTTTTTGGTCCTTTTAACTATGATCCTTGATGCCATGATTGGTGAATACAATATTGCAATTTGCATGATATTCAATTTGAAGTTTTGCAGTCACTAAATTCAGTTCTATTGTGTCCATGGATCTTCTACAGTGCTTAGCAGTTATGAACTTAGAAGTTCCTAGGTCTGAATTGAATCTTTAACAATTGGATAATTTGTGATTTTAGTACAAGGGGCTGTCCTGACCTGAGAATGAATTTGTATGTTGAGTGAATTTCAGAAACCTGTGTATATTGAGTGAATTTCAGAAACTTGTGTATGTTGACTTAATATACATGCTGTGTTTGGTTGCTCTGTATATGTTGAGTGAATTTCAAAAACCTGTTCAGTGAATTTGTTGAATGAATTTGTTGAGTGAATTTCAACTGTTGAGCGAATTTCACAAACCTGTGTGTATATGGACCATTCAACAGGTTCATTCAAGGTCCTTTACCTTCAACCTGTTCATTCAACAGATTTCATCTCAAAAAAACAGGTTCACAAATATTCATGTCAATAGCAACCATCGCATTATACACATTATTCATCTCAAAGAAACAATCACATTATACACACTGTTAAGCAACCATCACATATAATAACAGAGCCTACGTTCACACACCGATTTTTCTATTAAATAATACACACTGTTAATAACAGAGCCTACACCATCGCAAATTTTTCAAACCATTACATATAATACACACTGTTAAGCAACCAACATAATTCTATTAAATAAGCAACCAGCAGATTTTTCACCTAATAATTAAGCAACTAACCAACAGATTTTTAAGCACCAACAAAAAAATACAAAACAAGTAGAAAAGTAGATTACATTCATAGCATGTTTCAAAACCTAACAATTGAGTCATTTACATGATAAAGTACAAAAACACACAAAATACAATGACATAAGTCATTGCCTTGAAAATCTTCTCCATCCTTTGAAGCTTTCTATCATGCTCATGAATTGCATTGTCCATCTCACCAAGCCTTCTCCTTAGATCATTAATTTTTTTTGTTTTTAAATCTGTCCGAGGTCCAGCATTGGTACGGATTGTGGAGGTAACGTCGTCGTCGTCATCATCTGCAAACCTGAAGTAATTGCAGTGTTTGTTCGCACTCTACAATGCACAAGAATCAATTAATCAATAAATGACAAATGAAATTTGTAAAAAGTAAAAGATTAATTTATATAACAGATACTTATATATTTTGTTGGGCAAATAAAAAAGACACGTCCTTCATTTCCATTCTTATTGGTTCGTACAATATGCATGGAAGCTGTTCTTCCACAATTACACAATCTTGGCTTTAATCTTATGTTCCTATTATTAATAGAAGATGAAGCCATTTTTTTATCTGCATAAATAATACCAACAGATTCAACTATCTATTAGTAGAAGATGATGTTCTTCCTTTTTTTTTTTATCTCCCAAGCTATTCTACCTATTAGTAGAAAATGATGATTCAACTTCCTATTAGTAAAAGATGATGATTCAACTACCTACCAACAGATTCAACTACCTATTAGTAGAAGATGATGATTCAACTACCTACCAAGTTGTTCTTCCATTTTTTTTTATCTTCCTATTATTAGTAGAAGATGATGTTGGAGTTCAATCTTGATAACAGATTTGTTTAAAGAATTCAATCTTGATAACAGAGTTCAATCCGTTTAGAATAGAAGCAGATGCATTCAAGATTGAACTCTCTTATCAGGTTAATCTTGAATTAATTCGGTTAACAGGTTAATCTTGAATTAATTTTTCACAAAACTCTGTTCAATCTGTTAAATTAAGATAACAGAGTTCAATCTATTTTTCATGCACAGAACATTGAATTATTCATTGAATTAATTTTGAAATTATTTAACATAGGAACATTTCATGAAGTTTAGGAACATTTCATCAATTTTTCACAGAACATTTCATCAAGATTAAAAATTAATTTAAGATTAACCTATTAACCAGGTTAATCTTGATAACAAAATTCAATCTTAAATTAGGCACACCACTGGGTTAACCAGGTTAATCTTGATAACAGAGTTCATTCTTGATAACAGGTATATTTTGTCTGACCAGATTGAACTCTAACAGAGTAGGTATACTTTGCATGACCAGATTTGCCTTTATACCTGTTATCAATATTTTGATAACAAAGTTAATTCTTGATAACAGAGTAACACATCTTCATAACAGAGTGTTACTGTCATACAAAGTAGGTTTGGGATAACAGGTATCAAGAATCCCAAATATACCAAGACAGTAACACATCTTGATAACAGAGTTCATTCCCAAATCCCAAACCTACTCGGTTTTATATCTATTATAACAGAGTTCATTCTTGATAACAGGTATAAAGGCAAATCCCAAACCCTAACACATCACAAATTAAAGCCAAATCCCAAACCCTAACACAAATTGCAAGTAAAATCCAACCCCAAACACTTCCAATCGACTAATTTCTACAAAAATTGAAGCCAAACGTAAACCTTAACTTTGCGATTTCATGTTTACCTCAGATTCGCTGTCGTAGGCTCCCGTTCGTCCTCCATCGTGGTTCGTCGTTCTTCCACCGTCTCGTCGTCTTTCGTACTCCTTCAAGAGATAGGTGAGAGAGGCGAGAGTGAAGAGATAGAGAGGAGAGAAGGATGAGGCGAGACTGAGAGAGAGGTGAGAGTGCTGATTTCTTGCAATTTGTTGAAGGTGGTATAGTGAATTGCTAAGGTGGAGAGGGAAGAGATCGAGAGGAGAGAGAAATTTGTACTTTCGAGCCATTCGAGCCCGAAATATTCGAGCTACGGATCATTTTTGAACTAAAAATAATGTAAGGGGAACTCTATTTACACTTTAAAAAAAATTATTAAGTCTTCATTTGGCATGTTAGATTTTTGGAAAATTTACCCAAAAATGCTATTTCCTTAAAAGTTGAATCATTTAGTCCCAAAAGTTTTCTAATGTACAGTCCCATTTTTTTTGGTAATGTTGTTTACTTAATTTTCATTATTTTGCAGGTTACAATTGTACCCCTTTTTGTGATGTTTGTTTCCTAAATTGATGGGGACGGTTTTTTTATTTTGGGGGTTTGGTAATGTTAATGTATGCAAGGGTTTGGGAAAACGGGGTTAGTGGAGTGGTGGATGTTCTGTGTTTGTTCCATTGGTTTAGAGTTTTCTCTCCCTATTTTCTGCATTCACTCAACTAAACACAATGTCTCAGTGTTTTGGTAACGTTACGCTTTTGTTTACGTTTGGCTGTGTCATATACCTGCAAGACAATGTTTTGTTGATGTTATGTTGTTGTAAATCTGGTAACATTATGTTTTTTTTTTTGACCTTTGCCTATTGCATATCTCTGCAGAACAATGTTTTGTTGATGCTATGTTGTTATAAATATTTTTATATTGTTTGCTTTCAATGTCAGTGGGTCTAACATTACGTTTTTTTTTTTTGGACCTTTGCCTGTTTCATATATCTGCAGCACAATGTTTTTGTTGATGTTATGTTGTTATAAATATTTTTATATTGTTTGTTTTCATTGTCAGTGGGTCTTGTTTGTGTAGATGAATGGGTAAGGTTTTTTTTGAAAGTGGGTGTAGTGTGGGAGTGTTGTGTATGTCGTGCATATGATGGCCTGATTTTATATCTATGCTGTTGCCCTATATCCACCGAAAATAGGTGTTTTTGGTACATGGTTTATGCATTTTTGTTCCTTTTCTGTGTAATGTTTGTTCATGGTATTTTGGTTTTAATTTTTTTTATTTTTTTGGGTGTTGTACTGCCAGTGAGTGTTGTTTTTTTGTTTTTGGAATTGGTTCAATGTAATGACAATTGTTATGGTGTTATGTATTAATTGCTGTACGCGTTATCTGTCTAATGGTTCAATTACGGGTTGCGTTACAGGTATGGATGGTGTGTTGTTGTTGTGCACGTACGGGCAAACAAATGTTGTTGCTCGGTTGCATCACGCAATGACATTCACACAGCTAGTCGATGATATTTGTGGGAAGTTCGACGACTTGGTACGGGATGCGGTGTCTATGTTATGGGATGTCCCCCGGTATAAGAGGTTTAAGGTTGATAGCGATGACGATATCCAAAACATGTTGTCCCTTGCGAAGTCATTTGGGTTGAACCATTTTGATGTTCTCATTCAGCTCCGGGATGTTCCGGTTGGTGGTAACTACGGGGGTGCATATTGCAATGAAGGTCAGGAGTCGAATTTTAGTAATCAGATGTTTGGTATGGATGATCAAACGGATCTGTTACCATCATATTGTCCTAATAAATCAAAGACGTTCTTGTCTGCTCAATGGGCATTCAAGATTACCCATGTTGGACAATGTTTCGTCAGTGGTGCCAATGAATTTCGGGAAATATTATGCAAGTATGCCGTGGAATGCGGGTTTCAATTCAAGTATTTGAAGAATGATTCAGTTCGCATCACGGTAATTTGTAAGTTTGCAGCGTCCACAGGATGCGCGTGGTCAGTGCATGTGAGGGTGTTGTCATCGAATGGGATTTTATGTGTTAAGAAGTTTGATAGTGTGCACAGTTGTGGAGCTGCTGTTTAAACACATATAAACCCACGTACGGGGTCCGATTTGGTTTCAAGCGTTGTCGTAGATCGGGTGCGTGCTCAACCACTGACGCGTCCTACGGACATTGTGTTCGATATGAAAAATGACTACGATTTGTATATGAGTTTCCGGGTTGTGTGGTTAGGGGTTGAGAAAGCGAGAGGTGAAGTCTATGGAGATCACGCTATGTCATTCGACCAACTTAGGTGGTATAGTGATTTCGTTATGGAAAAGAACCCAAACAGTTACATTAACCTTGAATTTCACCAACAAACTGGGAGGTTCGTTCGGTATTTTATATCCTTCCGTGCATGTATAG